GGGAGGTGGGAGGTGGGAGGTGAAGGTGTCTGTGGAGGAAGCCAGAAGCACTGTGGGATGGGGTGAGTATTTGGGGAAGTGGAAGGGAGAGTTAAAAGGGGGATACTGAGTGTCTGGTCCAAGCCATGTGATCACATTGCATCCAGTCATGCAGTGAGAAACCCAGAATGTGGACAGGCATTTCACAGGAATACTTAATATACAAGGACAGGAAGGAAATGATATGAACCAATGAACAGATATCTGTTGTATTTAATAGCATAACATATTTAAAGAAGTACTTAAGGTGTTTAATGCAGATTTTTGATTACAAATAACACATTTAAACAAGAAAGCAAGGTTAAAGTGTTAAGTTAATCATGGGGCGATGAGAAGGATTTATGACAGAGATCCAGCATCCTATCAGAATTTCACAAATCAAAGCAAATATACAAACAAACAAGCAAAAAACCCTCATTTGGAGTTTAAATTCCCCCTTAAAACTAGATTTGGGCATGAAGGAAGTCTTCCTGTGCAATGTTGTCTCTCTTAAACCTTTAAAAAACTGAAAGAATTAAACAATAAAACAACAAAGGAGCAGAGGCAGTAAACTTAAAGGCTGGATGAGAGCTGGGGTTAGAAATATCCATTTGCTTGACATCCACATCAACCAGCAGTAGTTGCCATGCCGTGTATTTCAGATTAGTGGAGGAGAGGGTGAAGAGGCTCGAACTAGAGATCAAACCAACACCACAGACCGGACAGCAGAGAGTTTGCATCATTTAACAATCTCAGCAATGTCGTTTTTGAGAAGGAACTGAACTCTGGAGCGTCAGAGTCTCACAGATTTAAGATCTGTAGTGCTAAAAGTTAACCCCTAAAAGGTACTTTACAAAGAGGATGTCTCTGAAAACAAACTTTCAGAAGACTATTTTTTTCTGTTTTGGAGCTGAAGTACTGTTAGGATCTGCAAACTTCAATGGATGTCTCATGCATAGATATTTCTAGATTCTGTTATCCCCGTATCACACTTATCATCCAGTTGCATCCATTTCCAACAAATTCAAAGGTGAGAGAACAAAACAAAACAAAACCAAAAAGAAGAAGAACTGGGAAGAGATTAAAAAGAGCATGATAGGAGTTTCCGTGTGAAGTGCCGATTTCTTTTGTATTTGCGTTAGTGGGTTAATAAAACGGTTACAAGGCAGTAGAAAGAGCCCATCATCACCTTCTTTGGTGAAGGTCACCTCAAAACTCTCTACAAGAAGGGAGAAAAGATAAACCCAGGTCAGTCAGAGAAAGAACGAGATGCACAGAAACACAGAGACAAGAAAGTGAAGACAGATGTCACAGAAGCAGCCGAGGACTCAAAATACCTCATTTGACTTTTCACACTAGTAGAGATTAGGGTTGGGCAAGATATATTGAATATTTATGATCACTCTGCTGCAATATAAAATTAAACAACACTGTGAATATATAAACTATTTTAATTTGCTTTTAACTTGGCCATTAAGATTCTTGAAGAGTGTGTCACAACCTCTTTATGAGAGCATAGGGACAGATATGATTTAATAGTGCCTCTGACTTTAAAAAATGCCATTAAAGTTGGGACTCATTTCCATGAATCGGTTCGACCTGTCCATTTCAGTGAATTGATTCAAAACTCAGATTCATCAGTACATTTGCATCATCACTAAAAAATGTTCACAATTATATTTTTCCTATAGTTGAATGTTTTAAAGAGATGTGTAAGTAAATACTCTCGATACTCTTATTTCTTTTACTATTATTTCTAACCAAACAAATGAAAAATGTTTAATCCAAGAGGTATAAAATACAGCAAGTTAATTAAATAATAAAAAATAATAATAATTAATTTAAACAAAATGTTAAAATACAATAAATAAAAATAATGCAAATAAAATAAAGACATTTTAGGGCAAATGCATATATATTGAAAATTATGCTTCAAAATTTTGTTGCTGTATCGCCCAGCCCTAGTACAGATCGCTTTTAGCCTCTTTGCACTGCAAACGTGAGACAATATCTCACAGACCCTAACAGTCGTAGCAATCTGCATCATGCTAATTCTGAGGGTATTCTGAGCCCTATTATGACTGTATACAACATGAAACAATATACTTTGATGAGTCCACATTAACAGTCACAGTAACACCAAAAACAGCCTTGACCACTGGAGGAAATTGCCAAAGAGTCCCTGTTAAGGTTAAAACAATGAATTGCACAACCATATGAAAGAATAAGAGTTAGCCAAAAAAAAATTTTTATAGTAGTATCAGCACTTAAATTAGCCGACTTTATTAAAAAAAGAAAAAAAGAAGGGGAAAAAAACTTCTGCTTGGCTGACTGCTAAAGGGTCCAGTTTGACCCTATCAGTGGCCTCTGCTGGTGGACCTGTCCACCCTGTTTTTACCCTCACAATTAGAGATGGATTTGCTGGATTTATCTGCTGTTCAGAGCAAGTCATGCGGTGGAATCTTTGTGCCTCATCAGTGCATTCTGGAGCTTTAATGACTGTACATCCCCACACTTCCCCTAAAACCCAGACTGGCGCTTCAGCCTGCATGCCAAGTGCCAACTCCAATAACCTTCCATTTCCCATCAGGCAAAACACAATGAATATTGATTCGTTCCCTCAGACTGCTATATTGCACAGAGGAATCGATGAAGATGTAACAATAGCAGAGAAGTGAGAAAAAAAAGACTAGCGGAGGGACCTAATTGTTTATTTGATTTGCTGCTTCATTACTGCCTAAGCATTTGAGTTTTAGAGTTCTGAAAAAGTTAAAGGATTTGCTCACAATGAGTCCGAGGAAATATTGAAATTGACAACGAGCTGGCACTGAATAGTCTGATAGGAACTGATAGGAATGTAAGAGCTCTCTATAGACTACATCATGTCTGCAGTGGAAATCGATGCTTGGAGCTGGTTTATAAAAGGCCAGTAGAACATCGATCATGATGCTGCATGTCTGCCCCTAATGGGACACTGTACCCTTTGAAGCAACTTTTCATATACACTAAATAAATCCATAGAGATTTCACATTTTGGGAACCAAAATGCCTTTGCTATGAATTATATGATGTTATATATATATATATTAAATCCATAAAAATAATGCAACAATAAATATATACAAACATAATTAAACAAATAGAAAATGGTTAATAAAACGCATATAGTATTTAAATGATAAAAATGACATTTTTTCCAAAACAATACAATAAGTAAATTTCTGACATTAATGAAAAGCTACTTGGATGTAGGGCTGCACGATTATGACAAAAATCATAAATGTCGATTATTCCTTTGAAATTGTAATTGCGATTATTAATTACGATTAAATGAATGATGTTTACACCTTTGTTTGACGCAACTGCATGCCATATTTTTATAGGAAAATAAACAAGCTGAAAACACTAACTGAAAAACTTTTATTGCTTTTCTATAGTATTAAGCCTCAAATGTCAAATATACATCGGATTGGTTTCTTCTTTAGAACGATTACGTAATTGTGCCATCCGTAATTGTAATTGCGATTAGAAATTCGATTAATTGTGCAGCCCAACTTGGATGCTTGTGTACCTCAACAGTTCTCAGGTTAGCTTTAGCAACATGGTCTGGTTTAAATGAATGTAAATGGCACACCAGTTCTGTGTGACTTTTGCCAAGCTCCCTGATCAGAGTAAAGTGAGTTAGTCAGCATGGCACCAGAGATGCTAAGAATGCGCCAGTCACCCACACAGCCATGTGACGCTTCAAAGTGAATTTAAGAAAGCTTGTTAATATAATCAGTGTGCCAAATGTCTGCACTCTCACTGCTGGCTCACACAAACAAAGCTTACTGAAATGATTGCTTATGAACTATCGGAGGAATTATATATTTATGAGGTGCTGCGGCTTGAGGGGAAGATTATCATTGAAAAATTACCTAAGTGCTTTAATATTTATACAAATAACTCAAGGTAAACCACATTAGTGCTCGTGGACCCATCTTTCTCCCAAATGTTTGCCACTAATTTGATAGCAGTGTCCCATATTCAGGGTGCACCAGGAGAATAACAAGGACTGGAACTAAAACCGTGAGAAAGGAGGGAGTGCGTTGAGAATGGACCACTGCATAAAGAGATTTGAAACAAGGTCATAGTAAATCTCTAAGTGATTAAAAATGGCCAGAGCCAATGCTAGGGCTGCACATTCCCTCTCACAGGAAACAAGCAGAGTAAGAAGAAATTTCATTGATCTTGATATCAGAAGAGCTCTAGAAGTCTGGCGACTAGCTGCCTGGTGAACAGGAGAGGGGCAATTTAATAAAATGAGGGGTTTATAGACTGCCTATCTTCATCTGTACTAATTAAATATGAGCTTATTACTCCAACATGCTTAAAAATGCCTCAATTGGATCTTCAAACGTATTATATCCAATATGTGGAAAAAAGATAAGGGAAAAGCACACCACCAACATCCATCATAGCTCGCACCAGGATTTTGTAGGGATCAGTGGAACCCAGTGTTTTAGAAATTCAGTTTTGTGCTACATCTACTGCTAAATGTCTAGGGACACAAGCAAATATAAACTCAAGAAGCATAAAGCAGTACATGGAGAAACAAACAGCCCCATTAACCAATAGCATTACAGGCTGCAAGAATATCTACAAACCTAATTACCAACAAGAGCTGACTTCACCAATCATATCAGTACATTATAACAAGTTCAACAGCAAGCTGGTGATATTAGGTCTTTTATTCAAAATGAAATTATGGTTTGTTATAGAGCTATTTTAAAGTTTAATACAGTATACTAAGGATAATTGACTAAATGGAAGTAGGAAAGCTTAGTCATACCATCAATACATTATCAAACTAAAGAACCAAGAGTCCAGAGCAAGAGAAAAATTATTCAAAACAAATTCACAAAAGACTTTAATTATGGTTCCTAGCGGACTAAATTAAAACCAACTGATATTCAAAATGATAAGTTACTTTTAGAAAACTTCTGCTGACTTTTCTATGAAAACATGAATAACATCATTTCATGAATAACATCAATATTTGACAGCTTTAATAACTGGAGACAAATCGGGTGCATATACTCCATGGTCCTCACTGCAACACACTTCTTATGATAAAAATGAAAATTCTGTCATTAGTCTCCCTCATGTTGTTCCAAAGCTGTATGATGACTTCTGTGTAAACGGTGCATTTTTAAGTGAATGGGCACAGACGCTGTCAAAGTCCAATATGACAAAAAAATAAATAAATGAAATAAACAGTTAAAAGCATCATATGAGAATTGATGGCAACAATGATGTTTGCTCACATGACAAACAAGAACCAATGGAGTTTCAAATGAATAATGTAAAAAAATAAATCCACTTTTAATCTGAGCAATTATGTTGTGTTTTTGTCATTTTTAGTATTTTTTATTTGTCTATTGTTTTTATTAGGCTTATTTCATTTTTAATTTTAGCTTATTTAGTTTTAGTTATTTTATCATTTCAAATTAAACTAAATGAAAATGAGGAAAGTTGCATTGGCAACATGCTGAAATAAAATAACTTTTTATTTTATTTCAGTTAATGTTTATTTCAAATAATGGATTTTTTTAATGGTTTTAGTTTAGTTAACGATAACTCTGTAGCAAAGGGGAAATTTTCAATAAATAACGGCTGAAATTGTCCCACAAAGCTATTGTTTGGCTTAAAAAGTCCTGGAATATAATGCTCAAACCATATGAACTGCTTTTATGACACTTTTATGGTGCTTTTTTGTTATTTTGGAGCTTGACAGCCCCAGTTCCCATTCACTTTCATTACACAGAAAAGCACACCTTTTTATGAAAATTCTTTTTATGGAAGAAATGATGACAGAACTTTGATTTTTAGGTGAACTATCTCTTTATGGTTTGGAAAGCATGAGGAAGCAAAATGGCTGACAGCCTCATTTGAGACCAGAAGATGGAGGATCTTACCTGCATAGCGCAACGGGGCATCTTTATCCAAGGCTATCAGCGGAGGGTCCAGGAGAACTTTGTCGTCATTTTCCGTTACGATACCATGATACGTGGTCTCAATCCATGGCTTGTGCTTATTTACTGTTGGCGGGAAAAAAATAGGAAAGAAGAAGTTTATTTTATTGCTGAATAAAACCAAGCCCAGACAACAACCAATTATTTTGGTTTTCTGTGAGGATGCATGTTTCAGCACAACTGTACGCCAGCTTAAAGCCAGAGCACAAAATCACACACTGATATAATGCAGAAGTAGTGTGCAGTGGCATTTGCCGCCGCAGTTTGTTCGGGCTGAGAGCAAGCAGAAGCTCAGCAGCTCATTAGTGTTGACTGAAGACTTTGAGCTCTGAAAGCAGAGAGGACAGATACAGTGTGCTTTAGCTTCAGACTGCAGAAACACTGCAGTAACTGCACTGTCTGGATGCAGAGGTTGATGTGAAGGGCAGATTGCTCTCTTCAACGGCTAATCAGTGCCTGAACCCGAAATGTGAGTACACCAGCAGTTGCTGGGTGAAAGGGGATACTCCTGCAGTGCTGATCTCATTGTGTGCGGCAGGAAGCAGGAGGCCGCAGGGAAACAAAATGAGCTCAGCAGACTGATGTCGTCAACAGCAGGGTCCATCCACAAGGCTGTCTGCCTGAATCAGCTGTTAAGAAACACGCCTTTCAAAACAAAGCTAAAAGACATAGCTCTTCAGCGAGCACTTAGCCGATCCTTAACCATAATTATAAACAGAGAGTTATTGGATACTAATTGGACAATACAAACTCCCAGTACACAATTCAGTATGAGCTATAATGCAAAATACCTGTCACTAGTTACTGTGTATATTGTTTATTTTTCATGGTCTTAGCAGTCCCAAAGTACAGAATTAGAGTATATTTATACATTACATTAAGTGATTGAGAAAATGATGAGAAACACATTTTCATAAAGGATCTAACAATATTACCAGTACAAATGTATACATTACATAATAAAAATGTTAAAGAGGGGGTCTAATGCTATTTCATGCATTCTGACTTATTTGCACTGTTAAAGAGTTGGATTCATGACCAAAGTTTCAAAAAATGAGTTGAACATATGAGGGTATTTCTGTGCCAAATACACTCCTTCAGGGTTCGTATAAGCTTCGTAAAGTTTTTTTTGAGTATGGCCCTGTATGATGTCATAAAGAGCGGAATTCCTTATATGGGCACTTCTCCCGGAAGAGCACGCGCACACATCAACCCGACGGAGAGCAAGAGAACGCCTTCAGCGTACTTCATTCGGATTACGGAAGTCGTCGGCAGCGCTGCACAGGACTTGCTCGAGAAGGATTTGTCATTATGTTTATAGACCACGAACATACAAAACATACATTTTCATATTCCACTAGATATTTTAGTCTTCATCTCATCAGTGAGGGAATCACGATGCCCGCTCAACATCGTGATGTCTGTCAGCCATCGGCGATGGACGATGGCAGCCCTCTACGAACACCTTGGCAATTTATCGTCTATCGGCCCAACCCTACTGCTAAATGAATAAATCTAAATGTCTGTAGTCATATGAAAATACCAAAATTATACCAAATTATACCAAAAATATAAAGTGTTTTGAACACCTTATTTTTTTAAAAAGATATACACATTAAAAGTTTTATTACATGCAATACTAAAAATGGCATATATATATATATATATATATTGGACCACAAAACCAGTCATAGGGGTCATTTTTTCGAAATTGAGATTTATACATCATATGAAAGCTGAATAAATAAGCTTTCCATTGATGTATGGTTTATTAGGTTCTGACCATATTTGGCCGAGATACAACTATTAAAAGTATAAAATCTGGAATCTGAGGGTGCAAAAAAATCTAAATATTGAGAAAATCGCCCTTTAAAGTTGTCCAAATGAAGTCCTTAGCAATGCATATTACTAATAAAAAATTAAGTTTTAATATATTTAGAGTAGGAAATTTACAAAATATCTTCATGGAACATGATCTTTACTTAATATCCTAATGATTTTTGGCATAAAAGAAAAATCAATCATTTTGATCCATACAATGTATTTTTGGCTATTGCTACAAACATACCCCAGCGACTTAAGACTGGTTTTGTGCTCCGGGGTCACATATAATACAATGTCCTTGCAAAAAAGTTTATGTTGGAGAAACATCTCGGTGTTTAAGGGATCGTATTACTGAACACAGGAGTTCAATAAAAAGAGGTGACAACTAAACCAGTAGCAAAACACTTTAAAGACACTTTTTCATTCTGTGTCTTCCTTTCTATTTTTTGGTATTGAACATAAAAATTCCAGTAAGAGGAGGTGATACGGATCTAATTAGGAAAAGAAGAGAGGCATTTTGGATTTTTTATTTAAAAAGTTTGTTTCCTATTGGGATGAATGAAGAACTTGTTTTAAAATAATTTTTATAAGACTGTTTCCATAATGATTTTGCATACAGGTGTGCATTGTATTCTTTAACATTTTTTTTTTTGCATAAATGTTTTGAATGGAGTATCACTATATGTCTGTTTGTTGACTATACCTATAAATTTATTCCGAAAAAATATGTGGCTGTTTGTTTGATGAATTTTGTGATTGGTGGATGATATATTATCCAATATTTTCATTGGTTGTTTGCAAGTTTGAATTTTGTCCTTGTTTGCATTTAAAGGAACCTATGTACACCTGCAATCTTTTAGCCCTGACGAAGGCCTGTGCGCCGAAATGCGTTGGCAAAATAAAATTCCCTTTTTAATTACATTCTTTCTTTGCTCTGACCCCTTAAAGCAGCACTATGTAACTTTTGGTGCTGTAGTGGTTAATAAACAGAACTGCACACATCCCGCGGAAGAACATCATGGAAATTAAGTATCAAAATATTGTATACCTTAAAAAACCTGAATAAATAGTAAATAAACATTTTCTTACAAGAAGTGCAAAGTAACAAGTAGAAAAAAAGAAAAATGCACAAAGAATTTGTATGGAGATTTTTCCATCTACAGATTTTTCCCTGACCTTCTTTTCTCTGTAAATTAAGGGTGCACACTATTGCTGGAAAACACAATCACTACTCAGCAGTCAGATGTCCGTATGCACAAAGACACAGATCCCTAAACAAGGCCATATCTGCAGATGAAACTTTGTTTGTAGAAGCATTTTTTAAATTTGAACTAGCATCTAATGACTACACCACGTTATGTTCGAGAAGCTGCAAAAGACACAGGCACAAGTGGAATGTACAAAACATGGAGAAATTAATTTTTAAGTAAATATTATGGGCGATATATTGCGTCATCAAAAATTATTGCGGTCATGTACATATATTGCGCGACAAGTCGATATATTGATTATTGCGACAGGCCTAACTGTATCAATATTTTTTTTTTTCCCCGACGCACCTTGTTGATTGTGTGAAGCTGCACAAGAACAATCATACAACCTATTTGGTCATATGAAAATACACATTGACTGAAAAAAAAATCTTATGTCAGCTCATCACTCTCAAGCTAAACATAAAAACTAAATCTATGACTCTTGTGCATGACAATTCTTCAACATCCACTGTGCTAACAGCTCCCATCCCTTTTACTGTTCAGAAAATTGCTGTCTGAAAATATCTGCACCGTGTGCAGCAGCTGGAGCGTATGCGGATGATTTATTGGCTTCAGCGTGGTTCCTGAGAATCGGTGTCTTACGACTCACCCCGCAGGCAGAAGCCTGATCAGTGACACTAATTGAAGGATATAACCTCCACAGCAATAACAGCATAATGCTCACCTCCATTTATATTACACGCCAGATCCAATTTCACACCTTCTGAAAAACTGTATGCTTGACAGAACTGTCGCTTCATTTTCATGTTTCTCTACCCTGTTAATTTTCAGCTGCAATACATTTGTGATTTAAAACAATTGTACATGTCTATCAATGCTACAAACACATGAAGCATGATTCTGATGCTGTATCCATACAAAGAGAGCTGGGAAGACCAAGACTTGGTATTGTCTGTGAAATTTGTGATCTGGCTTATAAATCGTCTTAGTAAAATGGGTTCATGTGACCTAAGGGTGCTGCTGCTGCTGGTTGTCTGTGGACAGATTGTCAGACCAGACTACCCTGATAATCTGCTTTAAAATCCCAGGTTTATAAAACCTTAAGAGCCGAGGTAAGTCACATGCTGAAAGGGCAAGTTGGGACATAATGCTACTAATAAAGAGAACAAGACCAGAAAATAACATAGCCTAGATTGTATACCTCATTTAAATGTGATTTCTTAAAGATGAACACTTGAGGGGAAAAGTAAGCTTTTTTGAACCAAGGATAAGTATCAATTTAACTAATTAGAAATGAAAGAAATTGAGTGTGGTTGTTGCCCACGCAAAACTAAGCGCCAAGATGCTAGAGAGTTCTAGAATGTTACTAGGGTGCTGCCATGGAGATAAGGATGGTTACTAGGATACTAGGAAGTCTCAACAACTAATTTTCCATACACCACCATTCAAAATGATGTTCTTTTGAACATTATATTTATCAAAGAATACTGAAGAAAATGTATCACGGTTTCCAAAAAAATTATAAGCTGTTTTCAACCTTGATAATAATAAAAAATATTTCTTGAGCACCAAATCAGCATATTAAAATGATTTCTGGAGGATCATGCGACACTGAAGGCTGGAGTAATGATGCTGAAAATGCAGGAATAAGTGAATAAATATATTACATTTCAAAATATATTACAATGGAAAACAGTAGGGATGCACCGAATGTTCGGCAACTGAAATTATAAACTAATAAACGAAAAGACCGAATAACAAATTGTACCAAACAATGACGTGACGCGGTCAAATAGAGAGGCGCGCACTAATGCAGCAAACATGTCGGCAGTGTGGAAACATTTAAAGCTGTCCGAGAAAGACGCAAAAAATCATAACAAGCACCGACAGCGAGAGACTGTTTAGTACTGCATCTCATGTCTCTGATGAGGGTGGTTGTTGCTGGTTACTGTATGATGACTGAAATCGCGAAATGCCCTTAAACAATTAAATAAACTGCAGAACGTTGTGTTTGCTAATACACGCACA